AATTTACAATGTTTAATCTTAAGTCTAATAATATACTATTATATTGAATTGATAGAATTAGATAATATTAATTATAAACCACTGAATCATATTAGTAATACTAAAATATTAGCGCCCTATAAAAAGCTTGCATATGTACATCCTGACATAGACTAATAATATTTTTATTGATTTTTATTCTATAAACAAAACATATGGAAAGAGGTCAGATTCATTTTTTTTTTAATATTATACGTTTGTAAAGTTAATGTTAAAACAGTACGCATACTATACATTTAAAATATATTCTAAATAGCTGAAGAAACGTATAATATAATATTTTACACCTCGGGACATAATCATATTTGTTTAATTAAAATAACTTTGTAAAAGTTTTTTAATACTATTAAATTTGATTAAATAGTATAACATTTTCTCGTATTAATTGACAATTAGTTATTAAATTTTAACATCCATTTCTAAAAACTAAAAATAGTGAAATGGGCCATCTGCATTTTTATACCACAAATATTTTACATATTTTTCCATTAGATATTATAATTTAAACTGCTTTAAGTAAATGAAATATTTGTTACTATTAAAATAATATTAACAAAGTCGCATAAAACCATATACTATTCGCACTTTGATTTTCTTGGACCAGGGCTATTAACATTTTTAAAGCCGATTTTTATGATATATAGCTCTAAAGAATTTTATTTAATCATCAGTTTGCAATTTGGCCAAAAAAAATTTCTCTAGAACGCTTAATAAAATAAAAAAAATTAAGTCACCCCCTTTTAAAATAAGTTTTAAATACCCTCCTAGAGTAATTCACACAAGAAATACATTATAGATTGTATGTTAATGTACGTAGTGAGTAGATCTATGAGTCCTATCTATTGTTAATCTTTTGTTTCTTATTTATTTTCATTATGGTTTATTGCCTAAAAATCTGTGGTAGATCCTCTCTGATATAATATTTATTAAATGATAACATTCAAAAAACGCCACACTATGGCAGTTATAGGTGTGCTTAGATTTATTCTCACAAAACTATTAAACATAAATATTTGTACATTATTCCGCCACAGACATTTTTTATGGAAGAATATTTGCATTTCACGCGTTGTTATATAACACTACAAGATTGACTGAAGATCAACAACAGATCTTATCGACTTGGACTACTTGTTTTAACGGCCGATTACATTTATATAGCAAACACTTACTAGTCATATATATATATATATATATATACTTAGGCATGAAATAGTAAGGCGTATCGTAATTATTTGGCATAAAATATAAATTTATGAGACTCAAAAACATAACGAATATTAAAAAGACCTAAAATTTCTTTTGCCAGGGACAGTTCTGTTAGTCATCGACTGATGTCGTCGTCGTGGTTCGATAAAATATTATATGGGTTAACGTTGTCACTGTCGACTTTGGCCTGGTAACATTCAAATTTGGTAACCAGTTGACCTACATTGGAAGTCGTGAATCACTTGTTCAGAATAGTTATTGCACATGGTTAATGACAATGATGCGCAATCGGACAACACCCATGAAATGTTAATACACAGTCATTATTTAAAACGGTCAATTAATTAACGGGAGACATTGTGGCCGTTGTATTATTCAGTGAATTTTTTTGTTTGTCTTCGGTAAATTGTAAAAACTGTTTTGATAGATACAGATTCTAAACGGATTTTTGATTAAATTTTTATTTATTTTTCGACATCTTACAAACACGAGCAATTATAAATGTTAAGATATCGATTCTTCAATGAAAGTTTTTAAATATGTATCTCCTGGAGGCTACACATTTTTGTTAAAAAATTAAACACACGTCAGTGAAACTATGAACTAATATTCCATCTGCGTTAATTATTTATTTATTTTTAATTACTTTTTCTGCGATCGCGTTTCCTTACTTTTACCTGTCAGCTATCATTCTACATGATATCTAGAAAACCAATAAACCATTAATATGAATTTATACTATTTTTTTTAGTCACAATGATATTAGAAAAAAATAATAATCAAAATCGGCAAAACATTTTTACCAAGTTAATTAATCTGTTTATTTTTTGTTTCACTTTCTTTGTACTAGTTCACAGATACTGAAGCGAGTGGGATTTATTTCTATTTCAAATTTTGTTTTAGATATTTTCAAATTTGAATATCGCATTTATAATGTTCAAACAATAAAAAGTAGCCTTCGCATGTTCTTTGAGGTCTTTAGTTACACAATTGTAGTATTAAAATAAACAATACTGTTTAATATGAAATTTTATAGTCTCATTTTATTACATAATGTAAAATAGTCTTTATTTCATCTCCATAATAGATAAAAAACCCATCAAAGTTTACTTATTATAAATTATAGCTGTATATGTATAGATTTTATTTTAGTTTTATGTTTTTTTGTTTTACGAGTGATTCATCTCGCAGTTTGAACGAGACAGATTTCTTCTAAATTTAACTGTTTCCATAATTCTACAAGTTATCTACATTTATTTAATGCTTTTTATTTTATTTACTGTATATTCCTTGGGAGCTATAAAAATAAATTATAATCCAGGTATAAATTATCCAAAATACATTATTAGTTTAATATTAGAGAAGTACATTTTGCTATGGTTTTAAGTTGAAACAAAAGCGGTTATTGAGTAGGTCTACTAAATTTAAATCATTGAAGTGTAACATTTTTAAATCGGACATAGAAAATATAACTCATATATTATATTAAAGTAGTGAAATATATTCAATTTATAGTATTTTAATATATCTACGCTGTTTATCTTTTTGTGTACTGTGATTATTTTGAATTTCCGTTCATTTCTTAAAACGTTACGCATGTTATAATAAAAAGTGAATTTTTTTAATAGATATAATTATTACACAAACTGTCCAAAAAATTCTTTAGTTTAGATGCCCGTTGTATAATTATTGACTTTAAACATAGTACATTTTTTGTTAAGAACTCACTCCGTGTAGCAATTTTTTACGGTCGCCGATAAATTAATGTTATTAATTGAGTAGATACCTGTAATTTTTTAAATTATGAAAGTCTAATATTAAATTGCGTCAACAATTAAAATGGCTACAGCACAAAAACCAATAAAATAATGAAAGTAACGTGGAGTTTATCGAAAACAATAAGAAAAGTTCAGCTGTTTCAAATGGTAAACAACGATAAACGTCAAGCCGGTTGTTTGTCACTAATTTAATATGAAATTTTGCAATAGGTCAAATAGAATATAAGTAGCAGTGTTCTTCATGCAAAAATTATCATTCTGTGGAATTATATTCTTTCATATAGATTGACGCCATTTAAAACTATTATAGTCATAATCTTAAAGTTAAGGCGCGAGTTGATTTAGTATACAATAAATTACTTAAATTTATAACTAAAAATAAGACCATCGGCATGTAATAAAAACTGTATTACTATAATTTTTATTCAATGCATAAATGTGAATTTTTATGTGTTTTTCAATATTTTAGTCTTGTTATGATATTTATTATAATATGAATAGATTATCTTCTTGGATTTTAAAAAATAAAGTAATGTTAGCGAATTTTTTATTGAAATATATTAACTAAACAATGAAAAAATTTTCGAAAATGTTAGTTTTAAATCGTATTTATAATTTTTTTGCTAGAATGATATAATATTGTTGTTTTACAAAGTAAGTTTTGACTCGAGCGTAATTTAAAAAATAAGAATTTAAAATAAAACATGACAATTATTTAATTGTAATAACTAAAATAAAACAACATTAATTAAAAGTATCTAAAATGTTATGTCTAATTTAAATTAGTGGAATACTAAAAGGGTCCCTGAATAAAAATGGAACGAGGAAAGTTGATTTTTTTCGTTATGAAATTTTTATATATAATATAATTTGCTTATAATTAAATAAACTATTTTAGTTACTAGTAAAAATAAACCTAATAACTATCCAAGAGCATATCTTAATATAAGATTTTACCTTTTAAATATTTTTTTAAGTACTTAGTAGACTAATAAAAATATTGTTTAATACATCTAAGATATCTTAAGAGGACAGGAGGTGACTCTCTCTTAATTAGTGAATACGTATATAAGAGTTTTTTTAGAATTTATTTTAAAACTTAATATTAATATTACGTTTAATTATAATTTTTTTTTTCTATTCGTTTTCCGTTAAAAAAAAATTCCCGTTTTTAACATTATTATAACGTTTATAAACACTGTTTTTATGATATACTTTCTCTAAATATCAAATTAATGTGACTGCTTTGACATTTATAGTCTGAAGAAGTCATACTAATAGGTTAAAAACGACTTTCAAATGTAATCGCATTAAAATGATTTCGTCTATATTATTTTATGGCATAGACAATATTTTTTACACGGAATATTTTGGTTTACCTATTCGAAAATTTCATACTGAGCAATGCGATTAATCGGATCAAATCCATGACAGATTTATTTTCATGACCCTTATACGTTTTTAAAAACATTGCAAAGTGTTTGATGAGCTTAAAAATCCAGTGGAAAAATAGCTGTAGTTTGACACTTAAATTTTAATGATTTCTCATAATTCAACGCCTAAATACATCAATAGCCTCAATAAGTAATTGCGTGTTAAGATAATTTTACGCATAAAAAACTGTTTTGTATATTTTACACAACAGTCAAATGCAGATTATCATTTAAAGTGCAGTTGAACATTAGTGTGCAGTTGGGAAAATTTTATTGCTTAGTTGATATAAACACTTTGGGCGTTAGTAAATTACTAAAATTATAAATAATGGCAAGATATAAAAACACTTTTTAAAAATATTAGTATTTTAATTAAATTTTTTGTTATGCTATTATCATAATGGTGTGATCTCAAAAGCAAAAAATAAAACAATGAATGTAGAGTAGAAAACCGGGTAATTAAAATCATAGGAATGTGGGGACGGGACCACTTTGTTGGCTAATTTAGATTTTTAATCGCGTACCTTAAAAAAATACTTACATTATACTTTGGTCTAATGATTGGCGGTTAACATTTTAACATAGGTCAACATCCAAATGTATGCTATAGAAATAGTAGAACTGAAACCGTGTCATAATTGTTTTCTCAATTTCGAAATAATTTATGTTTTTTATGTTTTTGCGAACGTAATAATATTTAGTTTTCCCGAAATAAATCGAACAAAACCAATAAGTCGCAGCGATATCGACAAATTAGTTATTCACTAAATCTGAAATCATGGACCATAAAAAAAAATCTCAAAGTCACGGGACATAATGTTTTACGGTCGACGTCAGGTTAGTGATACAAACTTGAACCCATCACACCTCCCTTGGCTTGACGAACACCTTTGGCCAGTCATCACGATAGTAAACGACCGTGGCTGTGCGATGTGTGCGTAATTACCGACATAACTTAAGAACTTATTGTTCTACGCACGTGGTCGATCGGTTGTTTTTTATTTACAGTTATAACGACTTATGTATTGTGAATTGCGCTTCTATTATATTGTGTACCGGCGAAAAATTTGCAAGGCAGTGGACGTGTTCACGATTGCCTAGGGCGGCGCTAGTGACATGATGAAAAACGACTGCGACTTTAGCCTCCGTGTGTCTTGACTTGGCCACGACTTGCCGATAGATCGTGTTACGACCAAAGATAATAAATATTAACCCGATTGCGATTTTTATCCGTTTCCTGAGTTTGCCGACTGTAAATTGTTTGGTTCGCACACTGGTCTTCTCTATTGTTCGGACAAAATACTTAAATTTCACAAGTTGTTTGCGTTCGATCCTTAGACAAATGTTATCCGCAACGAATCGATGTCATCATTTTTTACTGCGCACTGGTCGGTTCTTACTAAAGATGTTTTTCTGTTTAAAAGTTCACGTGAACATTTCATCATGTTGATGTTGTCCAAATTAAATTCTAGAATAACAAATTTACGTTAAGAAATGCGTTTTTATTTTATAGATACATGAGAATGTATAAATACAAATACGTTCAGGTAATTTATAAATATTTCAAATTTTTACTCATTACAATTCTTATTAGAGTTTTTTTTCCCCGAAAATAACACGACACCTTATTTTAATAATTAAAATTGTACTATTAAATGATTTAATCGTTGTTTAAACTTAATTACAATTGAAATGTATCTGAAGTCGGTTAATGTATTGTATTAGAATCTGATTCTAATAGAATTAATTATAAAAAAAATCAACAAAATTTCATAAAATTTTCTCTTTAACTACATTAAAAGTATATATTGCAACTTTTTCAGAACTGTATTAGTCATGCACTATGAAAACAAACAGTAGTATAATCGGGATTTTGCCTTCGAGTAAAAATTAATTTTATGAGGTCATCAGACTACTATGTCTACAGTGATTTCTTAATGTTATTACCTCGAATATAATTTTATAATGTACAAACTAATGATTAATAATAATTACTTATAGCATGTCCTTAAATTAAATGTATGTGCACCCAACAATGTCTATGTTTTACTAAATTAGATAATTAACACCTTTGTCTTAAGTTTAAGGCTAAATTTTCACTGAACTCTTAATGAGAATTTTTTTCTTAAAATTGAATTTTCATTTCAAATTTTGAATCGAAGACTGAAAATTTGCAGTTGATCTCGTATTCATTTTTTTCTCAAATGCTTCCTGTTGNACTGAAAATTTGCAGTTGATCTCGTATTCATTTTTTTCTCAAATGCTTCCTTGTCATGAATTACATACATTTGTTTTAATAATCCAATACTAGTTCTTTACGATCTTTTCCAAAGATAAATGAATACAGAGATTGAAGTAATTGATAATGCTAAATAGTAATATGTTTGTAGAATGTAATGCTATACAATTCTTCATGTACACAATGTTCAAAATTTCATTTATAAAAGTACAAACTTTACTGTATCCCAAAAATTAAAAGACATCGTAATTTCTTTGTGGCTTTGTTACAAGTGTCATAACTATTTCATAAAAACTTTAGTTTGACAATAATACTGAAACTTGTATTATGAGAAGCCGTCCAAAAATATAGGGAAATATAATAAACAAAAGATGTTAATAGTTATAATTCGTTGTCCGGTTTTTTTTTCTAACAGGTCTATCTATTATTATTTAGTGAAAATATTAAAACATAATTATTGTAACCAGTAACGTACATTCTGAAATGTTTTCGAAAACTCGAAAGATCCTTTTAATTTATTTCTGCGGCACACCTTTCTTTCGTGCAATTCCAAATCAGTCGATTACAAATAAAACCTTAGTAATACCATTGCGAGAAGTAAAATCGATTTGAAAAACGTTATTTTTATTATCATACTAATAGGTTAACACGTGCACTATTTTATAATTTATTATATTTTAACGCCTTCACTTTCAAAACTTTCAACGAAATTTTAGTTATATAATTTGAATTATTATCTTATTTTTATAAAGATCTCTAATCTTTAGGAAATGTACGTATGTTTAAGGTGTATATGCGAATTGGATTTATAAACGCTGCTTTTATTAGAAAAGCTTGTTTTATTAAAAAAATAAATGTGAACTGAATATCACTTGAATACTTTGATTCCAATGATGCTGTTCATTTATCACTGGATCTTGATCGGGAACACATTTACTACGTATTGATGTTGGGAAGTATGAAAAATATTTTTTATAATTTTCAGTAGCGGAATATCTAAATATATGTACATAGTTTACATTTGGTCCCGTTTTATGTTTATATGAGAATTTTGAGTTATTTTTAAAATTTAATGAATTTCATTTTATTCGAATAACGAACGAATCAAAATGTTCACTATTAAAAAATAGGTATCACAATTTTTAATATTATTCACATGTGATGTTTATTTTAAATTGACTCTTTTAGCAATTTACTTTGATTTTATGTAATTTCCATATGAATTATGTTTAACTCGATACGAGTCCATTAAAAAGTGTTTACGTGTTGTAGGTGGTTTTATGTATACATATGCGATTAAAATATATAAAATCAGTTTGTCTAATGATTTCTTATTCGTGTTTATTTATTAAAAAGGAAATGCTTTAGCGGTTTCTGTGATCATTATTTAGGAAAAATATTGTTTTAACATTGTTGCCGTTGAAATAAATTATTTTAAATTCATCCAAAACGTCATCTGGTGCTCTCGACAACGTTTTTGGTATTAACATAACTCTATTTATTTTCTACACAATGTATTTATACGGAATGCGAACATTCGACGTATTTCATAAATTTCAACTAATGCCTACACTCTCCTGTTTTCAGGTGGGACTTAATTTCCACATACCAATATGGTCACCAAAATATATTAAACAAATATAGGTACGTTAGATACACGCAAATGACTGATGTGACATCTGCTGAGTATTCCATGGCGTCATGGAGCTTTATCGGTGATCTTTCGTAAAGATGGCATCAATAATTATTGTTGGCCTTCCTCATAATGGGCTCATAACTTTATTCTTTACATATTATTACATATTTTAATACGACGTGCCGTCGGAATTACATTGTGTCTTGGTAGTATTGTAGTCCAAAGTTTAATCGAAAATAATTCTCTAAATCGTTTAATCTTTAGACAAACATTCAACTTAACTATAGAAACATTTTGTATAGTCATAACATTTACCAATCACCTACAGGAGAAACTTCATTAATTTATTATTGATGAGATCTAAGTAATAGATAAATTTAGCTTGATAGATACGAAATTCGAGTAAATAATAATAAATTACAACTTTTGAAATCACAATCAATTCGCTCCGTTTTACTTAACGTTCTCCTTTCATTTTATAACCATGTAATAGTAAATTTTGTTATTATAACGATTTAAAAAATCTAAATTCAGTTCGTAATCTATGGTGCCATTTCACTTGTATATGTCTTACAATTTTATTTTTCATAAAATTTGAGTTTAGTATTTAAAAGTTTCTTATGACGAGTTTAATCGATATTATTATCACTTCATAACTTAACCAAAAAATGTTAGTCATGAACTTTTTCTTTCGTATCAATTTATTACATTTGTGTAGTTTATACTACACATGAAAGGCTATCGTTGCTTTTATGTGGAACATTTACTGGAGATATTTTTTATGATGATACTAAAAATTCATAACATTGAAGTCAAGTCATTGGAATTATTATTTAATTTCTATACCAAAGTGTAATTTTTAATAAATCATGATATAATTCTATGTCTATGAAAAAAAAACTACAAGTAATAAATAATATATTATTGAAAAATATGATTTAAGTCGTGATTTGTTTTAACTATTAACCAAGAGAAGTCATTTGGAAGTGTTGTGATTATATAACTTTCTTTTCTCAAAAACTCAAACATCTTAACTTTTTTTTCTATTTAAATTTTTTAATTATTTGTATTTTTCAAGCAATGAGGAATACAATTTTTGAAAATATTTTACTATACAGTATATATTGAAAATATATTTGTTGTAAAATATTTTAGTTATTATACAACACTTCTTATAAAAAGAGTCGGAAAAAGATATTTTTATTATAATTTATTTAGTTTTTATGAACAATTCTCAGTTAATTTTACATACTATCAGATTTTAGCAGATTAATAATAACTAAGTCATCGTATTTTTAGCTCTAAATATTTATTACCATATAGTTTACGATTTACAAGAATTCTGAACTAACCTTTTCAAAATACCGTAATGTACATTAACATTCAAAGCTTTGAACAATATTGTTAAAACTATTATTATTGCGGTTGCATAATATGTATAAACTGCATTGGCCTGTTAGTATTAAACGGACGCTGTGTATACTTGACTTCGGGGGGTCCAAGCGGGATGTCAGTTAATATGTAATTTGAAACTTACATTATGTACTATAATAATTGTAATTGGGTATCATTAATAATAATTTCTATCATTCGTCAGACAATGTTTGATAATAGTATAATATCATTACATTCCAATTAGAATAATCATAATAATACTGATGTTTACATATAGGAATAAACTTAAATTCGGAAGGTCATTTGGCTACGATCACCTAATCTGCGACCTAACTTAAATATAAAAAACTATTATATACGACAATTAAATAATAAACACAACATACACATGTATATATAAGTACATATATGATATTGGAAGTGCGTTAGTGTTATAACTTGAAATTTGTCCATTTAAAATATATCATGAAAATGATATATTTTATAGAAAAAAATATTTTAGCATTCTTTTTACATCACACATTTGTACTCAATATTACTAATAATATAATATCGACATTTCAAATAGTTTTGAATCATGGAACTAAGAACCGAAATCTAAAAACCAGTTTTGAAACCCTATTGAAATTGTAAAACCTATAATTAACCTAAAAAAATCTTTAAGACCCGTAACTTTAACCAAAACTTAAAGAAGCCATAAAAGTTCTCAAATTTTAGAGAAACCATAAAAATGTACAAAATTTAAGAAGCCATAAAAATGCTCAACTTCTAGAAAAGCCATTGAAATGTTCAAAATTTTGGAGAAGCCGTATAAATGTATAGGTTTTGAAGAGGCCATAGAAATATACAAAAGCCATAAAAGAAGCCATCAATATGTCCAAATTTTAGGGAAGCTATTGGAATGTATATATAATGATCATTATTATTTATACTAAATTTTAAAACTATTAACTTATAAATCGAAAAAACTGTTTCATTGAGAGCTAGGAGTTTAAAAAAAGTTGAATCAAGTTAACTAAGCTAGTTCATTAATAACCAAGGACGAAATTTTCATATTTTTCATGCAATTATAATTATACGATGTAAAGACTATATTTTATTCCAAATAATTTAGGAAATTTTTATGATAAATTAATTTTATTCAAGGAATAATTTTTAATTTCACTATTTATTGTAATATAATATATTGTACAATATAAATACTTCAATACGTATATAATTTTTCATAAGATCTTTTGTTGGACAGTTGTAATGCAACAATACAATTATTAGTCACTTAAAAGCGATCGTGAGGTTTTAAGGGTTCGATTGTTTTCAATTGCGCAATGGTTTAATTCACTTTCAATGCGGTTTATCAAAAACAATTGTGTAAGCTAGATAATGCCGTGTTTCTTTATGGTTTTCACGAGTTCAATACGGTAGTAGTTGTGTTTATGTTATGATTTTTTGAACCCGGATACTCGATAATCGTTTCTTATTTCGTTTTTTACGGCAGCCCGACTTCGGGCTCGCTCGTATGTAGTACTAAGTGCACAATATGAGCATCAATCACCAAAGCAACAAAATGTCGTTGTCCGTGACTTCTTTTGACCGGACATTGCAGTGGATCCTTTTGGATCTTGGTTCTCGATGAATACGCATCGATAATGTGTACCACCCACTGGGAGCAGCAGACTTTCCATAGAGCCTATGTCGTGTGCATCGATGTATGAGCGCTGGTAATTTTTTAATCGACCAGACAGTGCACCACGCGACAAGAGAAAACAATAACGATAATAAATGAAAATAAAACGAGACTTGAACACGATCCAATTACTTGTCCGGGATCCGTTTGAGCGACCGGGTGTTTTTCCTTTTATTATAGTTCTTTGTCAGTGTATCAAGGACAATACGATCAATGGTGATGCTGCAGTGGAATTCTGTCCAGTCCGTTTATCGTCTTGGCTGATCCGACCAGGTTTCTCTTTCTCTGTGCTGTCTTCGATGTACGTCCGGGTTTGCTGCAAGTCGCGAAGAAGATAAACCTGGACGGTTAACGTGCAGATTTTTTTTCTGTTTTAAATCATCAATTAAAGTTCCACAACAAAAAGGATATTTTTCATAAAAACTCCATGTAGAATAAGATGCCGCATTGAAGTTTTGGTGAATAAATCGAAACACTAAATGCATTTTTTATTAGTAATGGTCATTGGTGTACTAATATAACAGTTTGCTCAAAAATAATATATTTTATATCGATGAAATATGTTTGATTTTTATAGTCATTAGTTTTTTTTCTGACACGGACAAGTTTTGTTTCAATTAAATTATTTAAAAATATCAATTATTGAATTTTTTT